TACTGGGCTTAATTACATTATCTAATTACATTTCGCATTTTATTATTGACAAGTGTCAAAGAAGGCTCGGTAAGAGGTAATCTTCGTTCTTGTAGAACACACAGCGCACTTAACCTTTTCTTCGAAACGACTTCGTGATGTTTCATTAAGCACAATTGTGACTTGTGATTAATTGTACAACAAACAGCGCGTTGCCTGCATTCCGTTAATTAAAACAATAATATAATTAACGGCGGGTAAATTGCGGTGCGCAATATACAGAATTCCTGTATATAACCTCTTTAATAACCTTAGCTTTGGACAATATATTTACGTCGGATTATATCTGACGTTGTTTACGTGATAAGACTATTGTGTTGTGGTATAAGACGTAATATATTAACGAGCTTTAGTCAGCGGATAAAACGATAGATATGTTCTCTATGTGTGTGATATGAGAAAAAGCTTAAGGAAGGAAAACGATCTTTTAAAAGATCACAATGATTCACATTATGAAGTTAATAATTTTCAAATAATTACTTAATCATTGAGTTGATTTGTGAATATAAGTGACGTTTTAAGTAAAAAGTTTATTATTTCTTCTGAACAATAATCTCTCTTGTGGCATCTACTTACTTACTTTACCTGTAGCAGGGAGTTTGCCAATTACAAAGTATTTGTTTTGTAAACACACTATCATATAAAAATATTAAATTTAAATGGATAAAAACTTGAATTTATGTAAATTTATATATTTTATGTAGATTTATAAAATGTAATTTTTAAAATGTAGATAATTTAAAAATTAATCTTCGTGACTACATGCGGCAAAGTAATTCGAAAAGAATTCCGATACTTTCGTGGTCTGTTTTACCACATTTTTTTACTCTTTGGATCTTGCCCTAACAAGTTTCTACATAATAGGCTCAGGTTCAGGTCACTAGAAAATATATTGAAAATATGTTGCCGGATTGTGAAGGCGTCTGTATCGGAATGCGGGAGATCCGGGTTTGACTCCTGGCCAAGGTGTATTTTTTAGTCAAAATCTCCAAAATTCTTCTAGAAGAAAACTTAATAAATTGCCATCTAAAGGGGGAAACAAGTTTCATTTACTAATGATTATATGTAATTAATTAAAATTTATTGTAACATTTTTTAAATAAAAATTTCAATTGCAATATTAAAACGGCACTTATTTGAAGAATCATTCCAACATTTTTAAATACAATTAATTAAATTTATTAAACCCATACAAACAACATATAGATACACGTGGTGATATTTGTGTAACAAAAAATCAGAACATTTTCTGAAAGTATCAAAATTATTCCAAGATCCCGAGTTCTTACTTCGCGAACGAACATAACACGTAATCAGCGATACGTTCGCTTCCACGTGGGATCGAATTGTCGATCTTGCTTCTTTTCCCAAAGGATACTGCATTAATTTATAACATATTAATATCTCCGTTGACGATCGAGCATATTCCGCAAATGGATTATGGAATTTAATCAGTCGCCGATCAACATTCAAGCGCTGCCGAGTGATCTTCCGCGCGAGGATGCGCCGCATCCTCGACCGCGCGCATTTGTCAGGATATATCTTAACCGTAAGATATTTTGTTTCGCCGAAAGGTCAGATACTCGCCGTGCGCACTGCAGAACATGCTAGTTAGCTCCCAACCGCGGCCAGATAATCCAAGTGATTAATATGGCATAGCCGCGGCGAACTTTAGCAGATTTAGTCCTGGCCTTTGCCAAAAGTGGGCCACGTCGTTTCGGGGTCGGCCAATTAAATACTGATCATCGTCGTGGATAACCGTAGTCGGGTATCCTTTATCCTTCCTTTCCGAATCTCATTGAATCATTGGTTAGATAAAAATTTGATTAAAATTTTTCGTTGACAAAAATACTCTGACGTGCTCGGTATTTATGAATAATAATATCGTTTGACGGTACGTCACGTTTCACGGTTTTAACACATTTTTCAAGCACTCCACTTACTTATCCGACAGTTTTTTTTGTTTTATATATCATTTTGACTCATTTAATCCTCTGTCTGCATAATGATTTCAGTCCTCAGAGAAAAACCCGATTTTGTTGCACCTTTGAATTTTTATTTTTCTTGCAAAAGGGTCTTGATATTTCGCTTGACTGTTGCTTCCGCATTAAAGTAGAGACCTTATAAAGTATCTCAGAATTTTCTAAGATTTGTTTAAAGCCTACAACAGAAAATAGGTCATCATTTCTTAGACCAGGTTATGCGGACGGTGGTAGTAAAAAATCACATTGCGGACGGAGGGTTAAATGTCACAAAAATATGTTTTACACGTACAACAATCACGACTTCGGTCACATATTTACATCTCTACGACCTTCATTTGTTCTTAACGTTTATTTAAATTTCAAGCCGTTATATCATTATCTAGATTAACCTTTCGCCTGCAGACATGGGTCTTCCAGACTCATTCAAAAATGCATTTTTAGAAAAAAAATTAGTTTTTTTAAACGTTTATATTTTCGAAATTACTAGAGATTTTTTCAATTTGTTATTCTTTTTTATCGATGCAGAATCGTTCAAACTTTTGATCAAGAAAGACAAAATTGTGTGAAAAAATATTGATCTTTCGCGGAGATACTCGATTGTAAAGTCGCGTGGGTCTCACAGACCCGATCTGTCTTACTTGTAGGTCATTTTTGAGGTCTGCGAGCGAAGGGTTAATATTGTTCGATTTGTTATCTCGTTTGTTTTTCTTTGTACGACATTTCGCACACAAGACGAACACGTTGACTCACTGTAGCGATGACAATCTAATTGCTATCAAACCAAACTTAACGTTTCGTGAGATTTCTTTCGTCGTTTCTTTTTGATTTTGGTTACTTCCACACACACACACACAATTAAAAGACGGAGAATCTGGGACGTGTATCTACAAGTAGACGCGGAGACGCACGCGAAATCGATTGGCGGTTCGCCGCGAGTTTATTGGAGGATCTCCGGCACGTTGGCGTGGAACAAATCCCGGCAGATTGTCACTTCCAGGCCGTGTACATAAGCTCCGTTCTCTTTCCCCGAGCGACAAAATTCTCTCCGCTCCGGGGACTTCATCTCGAGAACGAATATCGAACGATTTTCCAATAGTTTCGTGTCCGCGTCGCGTCGGGTTTGAAACTTCTTCCTCTCTCGCCTTATTGTTCGTGTTATTTGTACAAGGACGACGCAATATTCGTCGCTGCGTCATTCTTTTTCCGCCATTGTCACGGACTTTTTGCAAAGAGATCCCGACGGAGACAGTGACGATTATTGACATCTGGAATTAAGCGATGACTAAGCAACGCGTAACCGAAGTAATTACGTTAATTATTTCGAATTTATCGCAAAATGACGTGCTTGAAAATTAAAATTGAATTTTATTAAATTCGTTGTTTCGAAACTCTCATAATTCTCGTTTCGAGTTTTCTATTAAATCCTTTTAACGTTATTATGCTCTCTAGCGTTTGCTTTCCGTTAGTTTTGAACTTGATGCCACCTCAGCAAGAATTAATAATCTAATCTCCGTAACCTCTCGCCTCGCGATATCAAATAATTGCGCTGTCGAAGCGAGTGAATTTCTCGAGCAAGTAAAATTTGTTTTTATTTCGGAATTCGCTCTATTGTGTGATGTGACTGCACATTGTTCGCTCAACGATATTTTTTTTCTTCTGCGGACCGTTTGTACAACGTGGTCGTGATTTTCAGACCGATTCTTAATTATACAACACGAGGGTTTAGAAAAGAAAGTTGGCTCGTTCTTTTAACTCTTCGTCTGGATAGACTGGACTCTCCCAGACCCACTCAAAAATTTCAAAGCGGTAGTCTCTAGTAAAAATTAGTTTTTTTTAAACATTATATTTTCAAAAATACTAGAGTTCGCTTCAATTTCTTTATTAACGCAGAATTGTTCAAATTTTTGGTTTAAAAAAAAAATGGAAAAAATATTGATTTTTCACGGAGATGTTCGATTTTAAAATCGCGTGGATCTCGCAGTTCAAAGTAGACGTTTTTAAAGTCCGTCTACGAAAAATTGATAATATTTTGTTCGGTTACACGCGCGGTCGTGATTGATGTGACACGCGACACTCTGTCGCACTTTGATATTTCCCGAAAATAACAACAACGCGTTGTGTTGTTTAAAGTCCAGCGACTCGATGTTACTAGTGTCGAACAACAATGGTGTGTAATTTACGACGAAGATAGTTAAGTTTGCTAATGCGCGCGTGCTTATCTCTCAACGGAAATCTAAACGACCGATGGACATTTGGTCTCGTTGTGTGTATTCAAATCGCGATATATTTGAAAGAGGAAAAAGCCCTTCGCATACTAAACGTTGTATTATCTTCCACACTGTAATAACGTCGCCAATGCGGGAGAGAGAAAGAGAGAGCTCCGATGCGCGTATGGAGATAGAGTTACACGCGCGCATATACTCGTCCCGCGTAATCATCATCTCGCGCGCATTACGAAGTTCTTACGTCGCAACGACCGATATTTATCACCGTTGCGGTATATGTCGCCGCGCGCGCTGGTTGATATATTATCAATGATGTATTTTCGTTAAGAAAAAGCGCATGATAAAAAAACCGAGCGAGAATTGTGATACATCAGCTGTTTAGTTCTAGAGACGATCCTATTTTTCTGCGACATTTATAGAGCGGTTTTTATTACGCTCGTGTCGAAATTAAACCCGACACCATCTTTGGAACAGCCGCGTTGCGTCTATAAGTTGGTTAAAAATAGCGGCAATTTTTTAAACAGAAAACGCTGTTTTTTTTTTTTTAGATCCGCAGTCTATTTTCTCTCGCGCGAAGATGCGATCTATTTTAGTTTTATCAGTTGTTATATCACGTAGTGCGATATGACGTTTTCAACGACTTTATCAACGGCGACATTATTCGTCGTTGGTGTGTGTTGGGATTTGTAGTCTGCGCCGTCCGAGATCTCGGCGATTGTTTCTAAACACCGACGCGCGTTGATTGTTTCAGGGGTATCGAGCAAGGACGTGAGCGGATGGCCGAAGATTCCGTGTCTGAGGGGTCGCGCGTCCAACAAAGGCGGGAACAGCGCGGTCGGGCCGCACACGGGCCCGCCGCAGTGTCCGCACTCGGTTCTGAGCAGCACTCGCAGCTCGGTCAGCAGCTCGCCGTTGAGCCCGTGCCCGACGCCTATGCCTTTTCTGGTGACTTCGGGTTCCGTCAGGTGAGTGAAACGAATTACACACGACGTTTTTTTACCGTCTTCGCGCGTAATACGTATATCGCATGCATATGTGACGTACATAGATGACCGCGTGCAAGATTTATTTAACGTTGCAACTCGACCCGGGGAGAGAAGTGAACCGTTGTTAACGAAGGACGCGTTTTTCCTCGTGTCGCGATAAAAAAAAAAAAAAAGTAGAGCACAACACTGTTGTGAGTCTTCCGTGTAAGTTGAGTTTTGCTTCTCGGTTCTGATCGCAATTCGCTCTTGATCCGACTTATAAGTTTCTTTGCTGTCACGCTCAAACGATGACAAAGGACTTCTGTGTGTGACGATATGTAATTTCGCGAAAGCCTCTTGAAGTTCTCTCTTCTGACGTTAAAACTACGTCGCGTAGTAAAGGCCGCACTCAACCAAGAATAGTGCTCTTTATACATATTCTATTGCACACTATATCCAGCCGTGAGACAAACATAGCTTGGCGACCAAGATAGAATCAGCCGTACGTTTTAATTTGTCATTGATCCATCGTAATTGTGTGATGCGCGCGACGTGTGTGCGTCATTCGTATCACTTTTCCTCCGTCTTTGTGTCTTAGAAATTACATAACACGCACGATACCTAGATTTTCGTAATTAGAGTCAGTTCATAATTTGGAGAAACCTTATTGCAGTAGATTGAAAGAGTAGAAGTCATCTGTTCTTTTCCGAAATATTACTAGAAAGTCATATCGCTCGTATTAGTTTTTTTTTTTTAAGGTTTTTAAGAGATAAGATTTTGAACATTTCTCACAGAAAAATTACTGACAAGTTTGCGCATTTCGGGTTCAAAACACATTAAATTACAGATCTTAAAAGAGTACTGGATACGACCTTAGAGATTTATAAATGGACGTTTTAAAATTTCTCTCTGAATCGTATTTATTGCGTCGAAAATGCTTTTACTAAATGCTTCTACTGAAGTGAATTATTCAAATTAGGGTAGATCGAGGCGAGTCGAATCAATATAAGAATTGAGACCATATTTGTTCCACATTTATTCCGTTACGTCGATTCTGTTGCGCGTGTTATTTCGTTCGTTTTCTCTCGCATCTAAAACAATTGCCGGTGGCATGCATATCGCTCGTATTTCATTGATGACTCTATTTTGATCCGATTCGCCCTGTGATCCGATGTGAAAAACGACAATAGCGAACCAATAAGCAGGACGTTGCGCAATAATTACTGAATTTTAGATAAAACATTGCAATTTTTATTCAATTCATCTTCATTTGGAATATTACAAATTACACTTGGCAAATTTAAAACAAATAATTAAATCATTGGTTTGTTATTGCTGTTTCTCACATTTTTAATTTTAATTAACCGACGCAAACCGAAGCCCTTGATTTGATCATTTTATTTAAATAAATTATGCTAAGATTTATTGCTTTTTTTCAAGTGTCAAAAATCATCATAAAATTTTACTTACACATAAAACTTATATACTTTCTTATTATATAATATTCTTATTATATAATATTTCTTATTATATAATATTTCTTATTATATAATATTCTTATAATATTTAGCGGAATTGTTTCTAAGCTTTACATACATTAATAATAACAAGAAGAAGATTCTTCGGGCTCAGGAGTCTTTAAACTAATGAATGAAATAAATTGGGTTGTAAGAGCCGTTTGCAGGATGTTGTGCAGAGAATGTGCTTAAATATATATATATATGTATACACCTATATACTTCGAAATAATTTTTTTTTTTTTAAGCACATTCTCTGCACAACATCCTGCAAACGGCAACATCCTCTTACAACTCAATTTATTTCATTCATTACTTTACATACATATTTAAACTTTCAACGCGATAAATATACGACATCAAAAATTATAATGAGACAATCAGAGATTGTGGTTTGAATAATTAATTGACGAGAACGAGGGAATATTTGTGATGACGTGCTATCATATGCCGTCATTGTGTATAAAAAAAAAGAGTTCAAGAGAGCACTGCGTGTCTATCTTTAGGAACACCGTATAATTTTTTATATTTATTCGCTTCTGCAGAAGCACTTTTTATTTTGCGATAAATACGAAGAAATTTGGTTCCTCCGAAACGTCGATTCCTACTCTCTTAATTGTCGCGTCGCCTGAGTATTGATTTTGCCGCGTTCAAAACCAATTTTTGCTCGTTCGCATTCTTTTCAATGGAAAATTTTTGTAGAAGAAGTTTGTTTCTTCGCAAGAGCTTCTCTCTTCGGAAAACTGTGCACAAAGTTAACCAACGAAATAGATATTTTATCCGTGACATCTCACACATTTCTCCTGATACCGGATCTGAACAAATAATTCATAGCATTTCTCTCTCTCTCTTTCTCTCTCTCTCTCTTTCTCTCTCTCTCTCTCTCTCTCCCTCTCTTTCTCAAAGCAGTCGACTCTCTCGATGTCCAACTCCGATCAACTCCATTTCCTGGACCTGTTCGATCCGACAATTGTTTCACAAACACGCGCGAGATCAAAGCGAGACATGGCGATTTATGATTCATCAGCGACTGTCATATACACATCTCTCTCCGCGCATATGCACAATATAGCGTTTTTAACCGGGAAAAGTTGGTCGAAGGATAAACGCGCGTTATTGCCGCTTTGTTCGCGGTCGTGCGATTTTAGTCTTAAAATAGTCTTTGAAGCGCGCGACTTTTACTAGAACGTGGGACAAGAACGAGATGTTTCCTCGCGTCAACGAAGGGCGCCCTCATAGACGCTTCCTCACGCGGGTAGAGGCAAATTGAATGCGTAGGCGTGTCTTATAGACCGTGTCGTACCTATCAAAGCTATCGATTATCCTCGTCGTTCGCTTCTCTCAAATCCCGGGTTGGATTTTCGTTACTTGACGAATGGCAAGAGGGCGAAACTGATGGCTCGTGCGAAAACTGTCGTGTGTCTCTCACAAGCTGTCGCAAAAGAAAATTTTCAAATGTCAGCTCCTACAAATTTTTTCTGCCAATCCTTCTTGCTCATCCAAAAGAGCACCGATACATTCACGTACCTATCTCTTCCTCGTCAATGAAGTTCTTTTTATTATATCAGCGGCGCAAGAACGATAATTCATAAACCAGAGTTTGTTATTATAGTTTTTTTTATTTATTTGTGAAATTCACACAGGTTTTAATTAAATGAAATATTTGTAGCTAATGTTTTTGTTTGTTGAACGCGCGATTAAAACTGTTGCGTGTAACAACACGCGATTCAACGCGTGTAACAACACGTGATTCAACGCGCAACAAAGAAAAATAACGCGTTCCTCAGAAACGGCAGACAAAAACGAAATCGATGCGTCATTTCGTAATTATAACATTGTGAGCGTGTTCAAACAATCGAGAACCGACGCGTTCAAGTCAAATGATTGTTTCACCGTGTAACAGAGTAGATTAAATCTAACTCGATTATTATCGAGAAGTTGTTTAAAAAAATTGCTTTACTCCTTGAAATTTATTTGTTTACTTGCGCTAAGAATAAGTTTTTCAAGTTTTGTCGAGTTTCGCGAGTTGCCGAACTTTTCTTGTTTCGCATTTACTTCTGGCACGCAAAAATAAATGATTCACTCGTGTTTCGTAACGATTCTGTCGATCGTTCGTTAACTCGCACTTGGAGAAACACTCGGAGAAAAGTTGAGGCTTAAAATCGAAAGCGCCGCCGCCGCCGCCGCCGTTTACACTCTTCAGACAGACTCTAATTGGCAATTAACCAATGTCCATGTTGCAGTAGCGGCATGGTACAAAGCGTCGGGGCCAATTTATCGCCGGACCAAACGTTCGGATCGATCCGGTCGCTCTCGGTGACAAGGGAAGTCGCGAGCTTTCCCCTGTCGCGAACGCCTACGCCGCCTCCGCAGCACAGGTAAGTGAAACGTTGCGTATTTTACCTGGCGTAAATGTGTCAAAACCGATCGACGTGAGATGAAATATATTTGATATTTCATTTTTAATTTTGTTTTTAATCGATGAGAGACGTATAATATAAAATTTATTTATTTCACGTGCTAAAAATAGTAACAATTTCTAAGATAAATATTGTGAACGTAGAATTGCGCGAAAAATTCTCGATTATATTTACTTATACTTATTATATTCATTATTTTTAGTATTATATGATTATATTTATTTATATTTTTTTATGTTTATTATTATTGTATTAGTAGTATTATAATTTTTTTTAGTTTATTATATTTATTTCTATATTTCTATTTATTATTTATTATGTTTATTTTTTTATATATTTATCATTTATGTTTATTTAGCATTTAGTAGTAAAAAAACGAAACAGGTGAATTTGATTTTTTTTATATAAATGTTTTTGAAAAAGTTCAGTCCATAAGATGATTCTAGCGAGTGTTTTAATATTAATGGATAAAAGTATATTATAAAGATTAATAAATACATCTCTCTCGCGAACAATAGAGAATCTGGGGTCGCCCAGATGTTGGAGTACATGAGATCCATCTTACGGACTGACGGTTTGACGTGCGCGCACTCACGGGAGAGGAATGTCTCTCGTCGTTGCAGATCGTCGGCGACGGTCGGAGCGAATCCCGAAGAGCTGGTGGGCATCGGGAGCCCGCTGCGAGAGGTTTCACCCAGGCCGGAGGTGCGCGTGGTCGCGCCATCCCACCGACCGACGTCCGCAGTAAACGGCAACGGCAACGGCGGCGGCGGTGGCGGCGGCGGCGGTGGCCACGTCGTCTCCACGGTGAACCGCAAATCCGTCAGCATACTGCTGCCGGAGCAGATCAGTGGATGACCCCAGTTGCAGACGCAGCTGCTGCAGCAGCAACCACAGCAGCACGGCTTTGTGCACCGTTGCGACGAGGAACCGCTCTCGATCTAGAACTCGATCCAGACTCGTGAAGAGAGTCATCGTCATCACGCGATCCACCACCGCGAAGAAGAAGAAGACGATCTGATAATCTAATATCTTGCGTTATAACGCGTCGTCGTGATCGTTCGGGTAACTGAGGATTAATTAATCCCGCGTCGCGCGTCTGATTTCCGCGTGGTGCGCGCGGATAAAGTTTGTCACTCGAGAAAAAACTATCCGTTACACAATCGGTGATCGATAGTCCATTAATGTCGGTTCATGTCAATCGTAGTTCGATCAACTTACAGTGATTATGTATTAAGCGATGCACACGAGGGAAGAGAGTTGTGTGAAGCTGTGCGGTTGGTGTGTGTGTGTGTATGTGTGTGTGTATGTGCGTGTGCGTGTGTTAGTCACCGGTAGGCCGGTTGTGAAGCGAATGTGTTGCCTCTTATCGCTCGATTAACGCTTCATGTGAACCGATAGTTAGACTATCATGAAACTATATCGTCGCTCGCTACGGGGAACATTTGCCCGACGTTTCATCTCGATTGGAACTACGCTCTCGTTGCATGAATCTCGACGACTGCATTCAAGCGAGTTACAACGTAGATGTTACAACGGGATTTACAAAAAAACTCACGACGAAAGATTGAAACTTAGCACACGTGTGTCGAAAAACAGTGTCAAATCTTGCCGTATTCCCATTCGAATCAAATTAACGTTGCGTTATCGTTGCGCTGTTTTGCGCATTGGTGATCTGAAAAAACTCTACAGTGAGTATCGAAAGAAAACTCGCAAATTACTTTTAGAGGGCATTGTGGTGTAAATTGCGAGGTGGTCTGTAGAAAATAATCAGACCGAATCAGGCTGATGACTTATATATATGTGTATACGAAGAATAATGTGCCCAAATTACAGGAAATTTCCCTCTTTTTTTTACGGAGAAAAAAATACATTAATCCGCGTTGAAACAATATAAAAAGATTGATATGCGATTTTGACACGTCGTTTATTATTTAATTAAAACAGAACTTCGGAAAATATTAAAGATAGAGCGCGAACACGACTTTGCTCTCTCACACCGATCGATATCTATTCTCGGAAGCGCACGATCGGAACCCGCAGCATTCCTTTCGGTTTGGTCGAAAGCGTTAAATATCAAAAAGGAAGAGAGAGAGAGAGAGAGAGACACGAGCGTATTTCTTCTCCGAGATGTCGTCGTATTGATTAATTCTCAGTTACTCGCGGTTCTCGCGTGTCCGAGCGACACCGCCTTTCTATATCTACAACACCGCCAAGAGAGAGCAGTTTCGTCGCCGTCACGGAGGTCGAAAACGATCCGAAAAGACATCCGTCGCAGCGAAGCGCGTTTTCGGCCAAAAGTAGTCCTTAAGGTATTCTCGCGTGTGCGCAATTATAGCGCGTTTCCTTCAAGGTGGAGAGCCCTGATTCGAAGAAGCAAAAGAGAGAGAGAGAGAGAAAGAGAAAGAAAGAAAGAAAGAAAGAGAAAGAACAAGTCGATAATCAGTCTGAATAATTTCTCTTTCTCTCTCCTTGTTTCCGTCTCTCTCTTTCTCTTTCTCTCCCCATCCCGGTGATCATCCTCCCTCTCCCAGCATCGAAGGCGGAGTCTCGCGGATTATCAGATTTGTTCGGAAGTAGCAGTTCGGAATCGGTGAGAGCAGCAAGTTTCAAAATAAGTAAGTCTGCGATCATTTTATATGTACATGCAAATCTCCTGCGAAGAGCTCAATTAAATAATGAACCGTTTTTTACCGACTTTAAAAAGTAAGGCTCGCGAAAAGAAAAACATACATACACTCGAACGAGGAACATAATTCAGGTGGAACATACATAAGTAGAACACGAGTGTTCGAGACATTGCATTCACCGGACGGAGGCGCTTCACGTATTTGAGGCATCTCGAGCGTTTCGCTGACTCGACTTCGATGCTTCGAGAATGAGATCTTGGGTGCTAGGGGAGGGAGGAGGGGAGAAGGGTAGCTTTTTGAGGGAGAGAAATCCTCGCGAATCCTCTCCTCCTTTCTTCGTCGAATCTCCGATATCGGTTGCGAGGATCGATACCGCGCGAGTTGCGGAGATCCTCGTTTTTGAGATCACGGTAGGTAGATAAACTAAACTAGACAAACCCGTTGCGGATATTATTCGGACAATGTTGGCAGACGTTCAAGCTCGCCTAGACGAGACCAGAGTTCGGCCTGATTTGATGCTCAGAATTGAGGTGACGCTTTTAATTTTAGCCCGCACGGATTATCTTCCAATCCGCTCAGCTGATTCACAACGTAAAAAAAAAAAAAAAAACACTTAATCAGGTGCTTATGCTAATAAGAGACAGCGCGGCAGACTCTTTCTCTCGCAATTAGCAATTCTCTGCTCTCCGATTGTTTTTCAGCGTTCGTTAATTTTTTGAAACTGGTTCAACGTCCCAATTTCGAGAAGATGACAAATCGGTAAATTTTTTTCTATTTTTTCGCGCGCCTGTCAAATAATCTATATATTACAAAAAAAAAAAAGACACGAACGTGTGTATCTGATCGAGTGTCAAATTCGCGTCTACTTTAATCGTCTAAAAAAAATATCATTTATTACTTGTTTGCTTCTCGAAGAAAGTTGCGACGACGAAAAAGTTCACGTGTATTCCCGTGTGTGAACAACGGCCAGAGACTGTACTCGCGAAGTATTGACCTGATCGAGTACTCGGAGGACGAAATGAAAACTAGCAGAACTGTAATACTTGACAATCTACTTAATCGTAGAGATATATATATATATGTATATATATTATAATATTGCTAGAAACACCACCGAGAGAAAAGATTCTAAGAATATACGGGTGGTTCAGAGAAACGAGATAGAAGTCGTTTAATTTAATTGGAGAGAAAGACGAAAGACGATAGAAAAAACGCGCGTATAATATGGGAACAGCGAAAATCTCGAACATTCCGTAGCAGCGTGTAAACATTTGTGCGTGTAAACGAGTAACTTTTTTGAACTAATTTTTTGAGAGTAATTATTTTATAAAATTTTACTCTGAAATTTTCAAAATGGTTATATAGCGTGTGTATATATGTATCGTTATATCAGTTGCATTGTTTGTAATGTTACATTGCAATGATAAAAATACGTTGAACATGTTTTTTTTTTTTTTTTTTTTTTAATTAACTACAAATACAAGTTGTAACTGAATTTTGATTATTTTTTTTTGCAAACTGACTTATGCGTGAAACCTGCGTATAACAATTCGAATAGTGTAGCGATAAATTAAAATTAAAGGCTTTAACGGTGTTTAAAAATAAGATATTTGATAAAAGCGTCAAAAAACGAAAAATATTATTTGCACACCACATTAATGTTTCGCGACGAGACAAAAGTTTTAAAATAATACAAACGTAACAACAACAACAACAACGTGACGCGACGTCAACCTACGTTGGTAAACGTATCAAGTATTTTTGATGGACCAAAACGGGATACGTCGAGCGACGCTAATTAACGCGTATCGGTCTCACGTTCGTGAAAACGGCAAACATGCGACGCGACTGAACATTACGAGCTCTAATGCGGCGGAAACATACGCGCGGCGTTTCGTCGCGTTTCTCTCTGCCGTTTTAAATTTGACAAATGTCACAAAAACATTTATTTAAAATTACTACGAAGTATAAAAAGAAACTATAAAAGAGAGGTATTGAACAAAAAAAAAATACAACTCGCAATTTTTGCGAGCAATTCCGAAATGTTGCGATATTTGACAACGCAAGAAACGGAAGCTCCGAAATGAACAGCACGGATGTTTTTAATGAAAAACGACGAAGCAAGCGCGTGAAAACTGTATCAGCTGAGCGATTGGTACGACGAGTGAGAGTTTCAGATGATGCGAGAGAACGGTGCTAGGGAGAAGAGAAAAGAGATAAAATATCGCGGGAGAACTCGTTTGGCAAATCATTCTTGAGAGAAAAAACGACGAGGTACTAACCGTGTAGTATATTTAAGGTTCTCCTCTAAGATAAAAACACACGCGTCACGCTCATACCTTCTCTGCTTGATCGACGACACAGCGATTGATCATTGGTTTCAATCTCAATCCGAAACTCCTTTCCGAGCAGACAGCCAGAAGTATTAAAAAAAAAAAAAACAAAAAAAACAATCAAGACTCTAGTCCTGTAAATATCCTGTAGAAGAGAGATAGAGGGAAAAAAAAAGAAGCAAATATCATCGGTCAAATAGAGGAAAAGACGTGTGACGAGAGAAGTTCGGGGAATTTTCAAAACGCACGTTTGTGCGCGTGTTGAACGATTATCGGCGACAATCGCAAATGTACGGCAGTTGGAGAAAGAGGAGAAACGGTGTATAACTCTGAGTTATTGCTGAAGATCTACTTTCACTCTTTTAAAGAGAGAATATATAAAGAGAGAAATAACAAATTGTTTTGTATAAAAAAAAGATTATGAAAACAAATCTTTTAATTTATATTTTATGGAGTTTTCTTTTGGATTTTTGAAGAATATTCTACGTGATGTTAATTAATTACTTTTTAATACGTGTGCAAAATCGTGTGCGACGGGTATATTAGCGAACAGACGTGTCTGGCGCTTTTTCTGTTTTCACGTACGGATATGTGAATCGAAACCGTGACTCGCGCGTGTGTCGTTGATTCTGCATTTCGCGCCCTCGGATCAACCGCGATGCTTTAATTACGAGCGCTTGTAGTCCTTTGTTGTGCGGCTCAAAGGTTAAATACAACCGGAACTAATGGGCGAGAAAACCCGTGTATCGATCTCGGTGCTCGAAATGCCGGCGTACATTACAAACTTTCCGCCGAGTCACGGGTTTTGATTTCTTCGCAAGCAGGGATTTGAGAAAGTACACGGTCAAATCCGTGCGTTAACGATGTGATGTTAATTAAAATCCCCGGGTTTTTC